TTCTTTCAACACCCAGTTTGTCACACTGTTGTCACCCCACCTGAGACTTCCTCGTCATCAGATCCCATTGAAGCCATTTGTCAGAGACTGTCCATACTCGAACTCGCCGTTAAGAGAGGACGTCGCTCCCGCAGTCGAAGTTTTAGATCCACTTCGAGAAGCAGAAGCAGAAACAGACACGCTAGGAACATTGGACAGCATATTTGCTATTATCATCGACGTTTTGGTGATGCCGCTAAAAATTGTCGTCCTGGTTGCTCGCACCCGAAAGCCTTCCCCAAGGCTCAACAGGGAAACGCCCCAGCCAGCCAGTAATGGCGACGACTTCGGCTGGCCGATCTTCTAGTCGCTTGCTTTTTGTCCGTGATTCCACAACCAACCTTTCATTCTTGGTTGACACTGGAGCCGAGGTCAGCGTTCTGCCTCGTGGAATGGAAAAACGCTACCTCACTCCAGGCGGCTAATAACACGAGCATCCAGACCTATGGTCAAAAATTGCTTACTCTCGATCTTGGTCTTTGACGAACATTTTCTTTCGTTTTCCTGACCGCAGATGTACAACGTCCCATCATCGGTGTCGATTTCCTCACCCAATTTGGTCTTATTGTTGACTTACGTAACAGGGAACTTCGTGATAGTATCACCTCCCTCACCACTCCGAGCAGAGCCACTTCGATCAGCTCGATCGGACTTCGCATGACTCTACCTACTAATGCTGTATTTACCGAGTTACTCCAACAGTTCCCCGCGTTGTATCTGCCGTCCAATAATTGTCCCGAACCTAAACACGAGATTGCGCATCACATTGTTCCTCGTGGACCACCGGTCACGTCTCGACCTCGCTGACTACCACCCGATAAACTCGCCAACGCCAAAGCCGAGTTAGAGCACATGCTCCGTCTTGGTATCGTCCGGCCTTCTAATAGCCCATGGTCTTCACCTTTGCACATGGTCCCCAAAAAGTCTCGTGGAGATTGGCGACCTTGTGGTGATTACCGTCAACTTAATAATGTCACTGTCCCTGACAGGTATCCGGTACCACATATTCATGACTTTTCTATGTGTCTCGACGGCAAAGTAGTTTTCTCTAAGATTGACTTGGTCCGGGCATATTACCAAATTCCTGTCCCCTCTGATGACATTCCCAAGACAGCTATAACCACTCCCTTCGGTCTTTTTGAATTTGTCCGTATGCCTTTTGGACTACGAAATGCCGCACAAACATTTCAACGATTCATTGACCAGGTTCTCCGAGGACTTGATTTTGTTTTTGCTTATATCGATGACATTCTCGTGGCCAGCTCTAACCACGAAGAACATTTCTCTCACCTTCGCCAAATTTTTGAGCGTTTTCATCACTATGGCGTTACCATCAACGTGGACAAATGTCTTTGGACAGTCCAGTGTTGATTTTCTCGGTCATCGAATCGATCGCACCGGAACCAGTCCATTCCCGGAGAAAATAAAAGCAATCACGGAGTATCCGATGCCGCAGTCCTACAAAAGTCTGCGCCGTTTCCTCGGTATGATCAATTATTACGGCCGCTTTATACCTAATTGCTCTAAACTGCTTCAACATTTAACCGACTTGCTTAAAGGAAAGGCTCGAAAATTCCTACCCACGAACGAAGCATTAGACGCTTTCGACAAGATTAAACATGCTTTGTCTAACGTCACAGCGTTGGGCCATTTACGGACTGATGTTAATACACCTATCATCCTTAAAACCGATGCGTCACAAACCGCAGTTGGAGCCGTTCTGCAGCAACTCATCAGTGGTCATCCCGAACCACTATCCTTTTTCTCCCGTTAATTACAACCCGCACAAACTCGGTATAGTACCTTCGGAAGAGAACTTTTGGCTATCTACCTCGCCATCAAACACTTTCGACACCTCCTTGAAGGTCGTTCATTTACCATTCTAACGGATCACAAGCCACTTGTTTTTGCCTTTCGGGGTTCTTCGGACCGTTTTTCCCCTCGTGAAACCCGACATCTTGATTACATATCGCAGTTCTCTACTGACATCCGTCATATAGACGCCACTGACAACGTGGTAGCCGGTGCAATGTCCCGCATTGAAATTCAGGAACTTTCACCTCCGTCCTTTGATCTAGAGGAAGTCGCTGCTCATCAGGAGGGAGATTCTGATTTTATGCAAATGATATCAAACCCTTCGATCAAACTCACCCTTCTGCCCCTTCTTGACTCTGACTCCAAAGTTCACTGTGACATGTCTACGGGTAAGCCGCGACCCTACGTTCCCCAACCTTACCGCCGAGTCGTTTTCGATCATTTCCATGGATTCTCGCACCCAGGCATTCGAGCTACTGTTACGTTGATCACAGATCGCTTTTTTGGCCCAATATGCGCTCTGACATCCAACAGTGGGCAAAGCACTGTGTTACGTGTCAGACCAGCAAAATCCATCGCCAAACAATCACTGTCCCTGGCACCTTTTCATCACCGGATGCTCGCTTCAGGCATGTCCATTTGGATATCGTTGGTCCTTTGCCCCCTTCCAACGGTTTTCAATACTTGCTGACATGCGTTGATAGATTTACACGTTGGCCGCATGCAGTGCCATTACGGGACGTTTCCACTGAAACAGTAGCGCGAACCTTCATCGAAACCTGGATTTCCTTCTTTGGCGCACCTGCTACTATCACAACAGATAGAGGTCCGCAGTTCACTTCTTCGTTGTTTCGTGACCTAAGTCGTTTGCTCGGTTGTTCTCACATACGCACAACCGCTTACCATCCCGCTGCCAATGGTTTGGTCGAACGCTTCCATCGCCAACTGAAAGCTTCGATTACCGCTTCTCAGTCGAGCACGCAATGGTCGGAGCTTTTGCCAATACTACTACTTGGCATACGTAACTCGGTCAAGGAAGACATAGGTTGTTGCCCTGCTGAGTTAGTTTTTGGCACGCCACTTAGACTTCCTGGAGAGATGGTGTTGGAATCAAGGGTCACTGGTGAAATGGATCCTACATCCTATGCCACACGCCTGAGGAGTCACTTCAGTTCAGTACGCCCAACACCTCCACGACTCACGCCTCGTAACCCACAGGTCCATTCTGATCTTCGCGATTGTCACTACGTTCTTGTGCGCATCGATACTGTTCGTAAACCTCTGACGCCGCCCTACGAGGGTCCTTACAAGGTTATCGACCGCAAGGACAAGTATTTTGTGTTGAATCGAAATGGCTGCAAAGACTTTGTAAGCATCGATCGTTTGAAACCTGCTTACATCGAACTTCTCCCGTCTCAGCAATCTTCAGACGCACCTGTTCCTGATGACGAACCATCGCCGAGCACTCCCTCTACACAGCCTATGTGTGATCCCAGTGTCTCTTCTTCGCAACCCCCTGCAGCCCCCCCCCCCTGCAACCACTCATACACACAAACGCACACGTTTTGGTCGTACGGTGGTCCTTCCAAACTAGCGTTTTACAATCAGTGAGACGTACATTTCGAGCATTCGCTTGCCCACTCACGCCCTAGGGGGGGAGTCCTGTAGTGTTCGTAGCTTTTTCATTTTTTGCGCTTTTCTCATTTCGTTTTTCTGTGCATCTTGTACAGTTGTTTTAATTCACCGTTTTTTACATATACACAATTCTCGACCTCGAACGGCGCGTTCTGCTTTTCTTCGGCGGCGTGTTGAGATTGTTTTGCCTGTGTGCTTGGGAAGTCTGAGCTTCGCTGAACCAACGCTGGAATATCGTATCAGGGAGTGTGCAATATCAGTGGAGTTAGTCCAACCGTTACTACTAAAGGTCAGCGTGTTGATACTTTTATTTGACACTAATCCCTTCCTTCTTGTGCGGTAGTTTAAGACTAGTTTTCACTCCACTACAGGGTTACCAGACGAGTGCCAAATTCTTTCGGCCACCGGGTCGTTCTTATGACACATCGTCTGTACTCAATATTGTGAATATATATATATATATATATATATATATATGTATATATATATTGTGCCCCATGCTGAGGCTGATGTTGCATTCTTGATGCTTCTTCACCGCAGTTGGGCTAAACCAACTTACACTTAAACTAGGTCTTTTAAGCTGGATAAATTTCATTCCGCTTTATTTGGTTTGTTCTGCCTCCCTGAATAATGTTCTATTAACTGGCCACGTTGCTTACACTAATTGCGCTTATCTTCGGTAATTTTGTTGCGTTTGTAGCATTTTAAGTAACTTGTGGACATTGGCTACTTATCACGGATTTGTTGCTGACCAACTTACCTCATATGGTAATTTAGCGAAGAGTTATGCCACCGTATCTGTATGCATTATTGGATTTATTTTATTTCAGCTTGTCGTTTAAATTGAATGGCTGTTGTTTGATATCCCTGGTATGGTTGCGCTTGATGTGCATGTTGACAAGGTGCCTACCTGTCTATTACCCACTACATCGTTCATACTGGCTCCAGGAGACAGTTGGTCGTTGCTGGAGGGGACGGGGTGCACGGTTCTTGTGGCCGTGCTAGGCTCAAAGAGCGGTTCCATGCACTCAGTGTGGAGCGGACTACGGTCCAGCCACCGCCTTGTGTGCGGTTGATTCCCCAAATACAGCGTGCTTGTGTTTGCCTGTGAAGGAGTGTGGGCCGGCTCCGTTGATGAAACGTGGTTCCCATCCGCATGCCTCCCGGTCTTATTCCTTCGGGTTTACACTGGATATGGGGTATGTGGTTGGAGCTGTGGGTGGTGCAGCGCAAGCCATCCATGGTCCCTCTGTAGGCGCAGGCGTCCTGTGGCTTGCCACAGTGACAGGCAAATCCGAAACCGGATGCCGCCAACCATGTATATATATATATATATATATATATATATATATATACGTATTCTTTGCTTGTGTGATTGTAATGCCGATATTTCAAAGCTTCTCGGATGCGCACTTGAGATATGTTCTTTCCGTTCTCACTGAGTGCGATCATGACTTGTTGGATCATGCTGTTTTTCGGGTGATTAACGTAGGAATATTGTCTTCCTTTATTGCAGTATATCCGAACTACTTCAACAAGGAACATTACAAGTTGAACTCTCAATGGCCGCTTCTCTCGTGCATGACCGTCCTCCAGGTGGTTTCAGCTTTGAAAATTCGTTTAGGTAAGATGTTTATTTTTTTGTTTATTTTTCAGAAATAAGAGACTAGCGAATTCTGGTCTATCCCTACCAACGCCAATTAAAACCGGTACAACTATTGTCGGTGTAGTCTTCAAAGTACTCTGTTTCCTGTATCCCAATAAGTTTTAGGATGGTGTTGTTCTTGGTGCCGATACCAGGGCCACTGGTGATAACATCATCGCTGAGAAAAACTGCGAAAAAATTCATCATATCTCAGAAAAAATTTAGTAGCGTCCCGTTCACTTCTAATTCGTTCTTCAGTTGTTGCGGTGCTGGTACTGCTGCTGACACTGCAGCAACTACGAAATTAATTTCTTCTAAAGTGGAGCTTCATCGACTAAATACCGGACGTGAGCCACGAGTGATCCTCCCCTTGCGCCTGTTGAAGGATTACCTTTACGGATATAGAGTGAGTTATGCACCTGGAAGTCTCATTCTTCAGGGTTATGTGGGCGCTGCTCTCATTCTTGGTGGAGTTGACTACAGTGGTCCCCATTTGTACAGTGTTGCACCACATGGTTCAAGTGATAAGCTTCCTTACGTAACGATGGGTAGCGGAAGCCTCGCAGCAATGTCCGTTTTGGAGTCACGCTTCAATTTTGATATGGACGTAAGTACTTTTGCATTATAGTATTCATGGTAAGCACATAGCACCATCCATGCTCCACTGATACCGTTTTCACATCATTTAGCACATCCTGGTTAACCCTTTGTGTTCTAGCGGTACTTATAAGTACCACTTTGTTTGAATTGTAATGCTGCTTCAGTGTAATCGTCATTCCTCACGACGATATGTAAAATAGCCTTCTGTCAACATTTACTTAAGGTCGGAAGTCCAATACTTTGCTCTACAGTGTGCGGAGTAAACTTTTGTGGTTCATGTCGAGCTATAAGTACATTAATTCAGGACTCAAAGGGTTAATCCCGCAGGTCTAGCAATAATATGTACCACTTCAACACAGTTGTTTTACAATGAGAGTTGCTAGATGTACATCATTTTTGCATGTGTATAAGGGAGATGTTTTAACAGTCGGCCAGCTTACGTTTCATGGACTCTTTCGCATAACCACCTGGTTTTTAACTATATCCATCACACCTTTGCATTTCTGTGTTACTGTAATTGTAGTGAGCCTTGACGTCTGACCAATCATTTCCTCATCTTGATCGAATTTACATCGTCCACTGGGGAACGTATCCAAGTGGCCACCGTTCCCTTTAACTATCTGCTCCAACTGAAGTCATTTAACCTCGAAGCGCCAGAATGCTTTCACCAATTGTTCGGCTTGCTTTCTGGTCACATCCAACCGTTACACTGAGTGTCAGTCACTTCCACTTGGATGTATGGTGGCCACAACGTTGAGTACGCTTCGTTTAATTGCTCCGTTTACCTCTATCACATTAGTAACTATCAGTCATGCATAGGGCACATAACCGCGTGCCAACACAAGGCAAGTATAGTCGTACCTTGCGGACTAAATCCCTGTACAAATTCAGCTGGCGAAAGCGAATGTCGGCATTATGTCTCACATGTAAGACAAATATCACACGTAAGCAAATAAATATGGGCATAGGATGATGAGTAGTAGAACACGAAACAGATGGACATGGTTGGACTATGATAATTGTGCATGATCTGAAAGATAAATCGGACCGCTATTCTCTCGGCTACAGCGTTGGTCCTGGGCTGGGGCATGCCATTACTGCACTATAACGTCGCAACGCCTGTAGACTGTGCACCAAGATCGAACTCTGCGTCTGGGATACCACGAGGTTGAAACGTGCTGCGGTTCGTTGTAGCGAAACACGCCGCACCTTTGAGGGTGATATGGCTTCACTCGAAAATACTATCTTCAGGCTGTCGATGGTACCGGCTTCATGCCGTCCATCGCGGTCGATTGTAAACATATAGGGGCTGTCGACCGTCCCAACGAGACACTGCGTATCTGTTTGACCCTTGTAAAATATGTAAACATTATCAGAGCACTTTACTCTCATAGTTCTTTCAGAGTGAGGTTTACTGCAAACTTTCGCCGTCCTTCAATATCTCCAGCGCTGTGAAACAAGATTGCACGCTGTCACCGTTTCTCTTTAAATTCGCCATTGCCGAAGTCATAGAAACGACGTTCGCCTGGCGCGACATAGAAGGTGTGGAGCTGATCCCAGGTGAACGGCTTCTTGGCTTGGAGTATGCCCTAATCTGTGCTAGCTCCCGGACGTGCCAACTTGCACTGGACATATTGCCTCCTGCTGTCAGTCGTTTAGGGTTATGCATTGCACCTTCGAAATGCAAAGTGCTTCTCCAAGGTTGGTAGTGACCGCTTCCTGCGCTGACCCTTGGCGGTGATCAGCTACAAGTCGTGTGGAAATTTATCTATCTAGGCAACTATATTAACGCCCTCGGGATTGAAGATGACATTATGAACCGTACAGCGGAAGCTCGAGGCGGTCTTACCAACCACCGCCACTTGTGGCACCGGCTTGACATCACTCTCGCTGCGGAACAAAGTTTACAATGCAGCCGTCCGTTCAACCCTCTTGTACGGCTGCGAAACCTGGCCCGTCAGGTCGACAGACAAAGAGGCTTGTTACGTTCGATCATTGCTGCCTGCGCAGCTTAGCTCATGTCTGGTGGGAACATCGCGTGAGCAATGAGCGTGTTCGGCGTTGCGTATTTGGTGCAGGAAGAGCGAGTGAACCGCTCAGCACCGTTATATCACACGCGAGACTCCGATGCTTGGACCACATGTTGCGCATGCCATCACACCAACTCCCGCGTCTTGCGTTGTCCGCATGCTCGGGGTCTGGCTGGAAGAAGAGAAGCTAAGCGACGACTTTATCAAGAGGAATGAAGTCCCTCACTTCTAACCTGTCGTCGGTTAGTGTTCCCAGACTTCTAGGCTTGGGTCGATTTACACGTTTAGCTGGATACAGTGGCTGATATGGCGAGGAGCCAACCTCAGTGAAGTTTGTATTGTGAGTCTCTTTGTCCCTTCCCTTTATCTTCTCCCTCCAACAGCAATCTCCAACCCAATGCAGTATGTGCTTTTAACATTATTACTTTTTTAGCTTTTGTAGGCTGTAATGTTTCATCTTACCTTTTTGTATTGCGGTACCTTAGCTGTAGTGTTTCTCACCCTCGGCTAACGTGTATTCATGAGGATGATGATTCCTCGCCTTCCAAGCTGGAGTCCACCTGACTCGCCTTGTGCTTGGCATGAGACTTTACAGAACATGGCTCGCCGTCAACACCATTGGCGCGTCTGCTATCGTCTGTTATTCTGGTTGCTTGTTTAAAGTGTGTGGTACTGAATTATTTGCGGGGTAATGGATGACACGTGGCAGTGAAAGACACAAGTAAGTTGTCTAGCTGATGCCGCTTTATCTTTGCACGATAGCCAGCTGTTTGTAACGGTATGTTGTTGACAAGGTGTAGGCACCTTGACCCCGAATGTTTTCTTAGGGCATTAAGTCTTTCCAGTAAATCTCTCTTCTCTCCCTCTTATTATTCTTTGCTCCGTAGGTCGTTATAGTTGTACTGAAGCGAAACATCCGTTCAAATGACTGATGTAATGCTATTGATGACGATGAGGATGTACTGCTGCTAATGTGTATGGCCCGGGCATACTGGATGGAAGAAATTCAGTAAGATATTCCAAAAAAGTAGCTAATACAGAATAGAAACAAGCAATATTATCATTGGAGGATCGTTTCGAAGTACTTTTCACGCCTAAAAGGACAAAGTGAGAAGATCCACGCCATAAAGGATAATGTGCACGCGGATCGCTCTTAAGTTTGAGATGGAACCGCTCCTTCATACCGTCATCTGAATATAACAGTCTGAATCCCTAAGCACTGTAACAGGGTAGGCGAGATGTGGAGCTTTCGGTCCGTGGTCACTATATTTTGGCAACCATACTGTCCCATCCAGCGCTGTAAATACACCTTTGCTAGAGCTCTCAAAAGTCCTTCGGAATTGGGACCGTCCCCTACGCCTTGCTTAAACGGTCCATCGAGTGAATTGGTACACAGAGTAATTGGGTGACCGTAAAAGGCTTACGAGGTTTACGTTCGAGTGATGGAAACGGGCCTGGGAGTTGGATGTATCTGACGGGCTTCTCTTGTGCTCTTGTATCTCCACAGGCTGGCACAAAATACAGGCAGCAACCCAATTAGGAGTGCCATGATTGACAATGCCCCAAACGAATTATGTGTTTATGAGTTTAATTGATTTACCAACGTCTGGATTGGGCAAATCATACAACGCATAAAACACTATTTGTCGAGCTTTGCGTGGAACAACAGGACATGGCATACCGCAGATAATGGTTCCGTCTGACAATGTCAGTAGAAAGAGTTGGATGCCTGAAGACAACTTGCATAGTAGATGAACCTCAAGCTCACTGGTTTGTAATGCGACCATGGCTGTCACGTTGCGCGAAAATTGCATCGGCAACGGTGTCGTGTGCATTTGGAACATGGCTTGCTCGGTACAGTGGAGTTGACTTGACTGTACAGAAGCCGGTGGTTGTCAATTTCATTACCTGCATCAGAGACTTGTGATCAGTAAAGACGGCGAAAGAGCGACCTTCTAAGAAGCACCAAAAGTATATGTGCGGCCAACAATTCTTTATCGAATGTATTTTATCAAGATTCGGTAGTTTAGCTCAGTTCAGCTGGACAACTATGCTCCGGGCACCGAGGTATAGTGGTTCCAGTTACCGACTCATATCATCCTGAAGATTATAAATGAAAACGGTAAGCAAATGAAGTTGAAGGCAAACAGAATACAAAAGATATCGAATCAAGTAGGGTGTGTGTAAAACTACTTGGGAAAGAATGAAGATTAGCAGACAAATTCAATGAACCGAGTGCGGGGACGGCGCGACTCTGCCATGGCTGATAGAGTCCCTAACCACTAATATGGACCATCCCAGAATCACCATGCACAAAGCCAGCACACCCCAGCCATCGCAACAATGTTGTACCTTAACGTCACGCAATGGTTTGCGTATCTCCGTGATCCATTTAACTGCTCTGGGTGGCACTTTCTAATTCAATGGTTTAGGGTCAGGCTAACATATTTTTCCTCAGAGGTAAGGGGATGTACATGGCCCTCTTTCTTTAAAACCTAGCCATGAGAGACAACAGGTCTACTGCTTATAAGCTCATAGCTCCATTGGCGTAGAGCACGAGCGCCACACTTTGTTTCCGACAATGCGAGGGCACTTTCCGATGCTCAATGGTTTGCTACCGCCCCCCTCAAACCAGGCTATCCCTTGCCAAAGTGGTACAAATCCGTAAACTCCCACCTGCGACTAGCTGGGGTCGCAGGCGCGTAACATCCTATGATCGTAAAACACAAGCACATTGTCCTAACTCTTCAAAAGCTGTGTCTGACAGATCTCAGGCAGATCCCAATGGGTCTGTGCAGCCGCACTCCCGAGCTGGATTTGCTCCTCATTGCCGTGTGGGTCAGGCTGTTGAGCTAAAGGCTTGAGGTAGAGCACCTCATACAAAGTCCTCTCTCGAACTTGGTATCCGGAGAGTATCACCTGCCATCTCGATCCCGTCGAAAATACCCTTTCTTCTTGTTATTCTCGTCCCCTTCAA